CTCTCTCTCTCTCTCTCTCTCTCTCTCTCTCTCTCTCTCTCTCTCTCCCCCTCTCTCTCTCTCCCTCTCTCTCTCTGTCTCTCTCTCTCTCCCTCCCTCTCTCTCTCTCCCTCCTTATCTCTCCCTCTCTCCCTCCACAATAAGACATTCCTTTTTTCCTTTGTTACAGAACCTACAAGTGCAGTTAGATGAAGCTACACACCAGAAGGAAAGTTTGAAGGAGAAAGCGATGGTGGCTGAGAGGCAACATGCTATCCTGAAGTCTGAATTGGAGGAATTGAAGTCTTTGCAGGAACGGACAGAACGTGGACGGAGATTAGCTGAACAAGAGCTTCTGGAAGCCACTGAAAAACTGAATATGTTGCACAACCAGGTAAAGATAATGAGGATGGTGTTTCACCTTCTGGCTACTACCTTGTAAGAGGAATATTGACAAATAAGAGTATATCCAGAGGAAATTAAAGGGTATAGAAACCATGTCATATGTAGGACCATCGAAGGGTCCAGGAATGTCTAACTTGAAAATGAGAAAATTAAGAAGAGACACAATCATGATCTTTAATATTCAAAAAGCTATCCTATTGAATAGAAATTTGATTTATTCTGCAAGGATCCAGAAGGGAGAAGAAGAACAAAGGGTTAGAAGTTATAAGGAGACAGGTTTCAATTTAATATAAGAAGGAATTTTCTCCAAATGTGGACCATCTCAAAAAGCAATAAGTTTCTTTTCACTGAAAGTAGTCAAGCAAAAGCCGGATAAGCATCTACCAGAGACATAAGAGGATTTCTTCATTGTGTGGGAGGTGAGACTAGATGCAGTGATGATACAAGGCATTTGCATACTCTAGGCAAGTTTCTAAAATTATTCTACCCTGTGTTACTGGCTGGAAGACCTCTCTTCACCATAAAACGTATAATAATTCCTCACAAAATAAATGCCTAGAGATCTCAAAGAAAGGCTTTTTCCAACATGTAAAATGCCACATCCTATTGTATGTGGTTCTCTTGGCAGCTACTGCCTGCTAATCCTAGTCCCAATTCTGGCTAGTTGACTTTGAAAGTCCCTTCTAACTCTTAATTCCTCCAGTCGGGGCCAAGAGATGGCTCGTGCAATTCCTTGGTTTCAGAGTTTACAGCAAAGTATATTCCAGTTCTCGAGAACTTTGGGTGTGAGATGAAGGTGGTCATGGTGTTTCACCACTCTCTAAAGAGGAAGAGGTGATGTTTTCTCTTAGGATGCTCAGTAATGAAGTAGCCCTGTCAATAAGTTCCAGTCAGTGGCCAATGGAGGAACAACATTCCATTACCCAGTAGCTGGAATTTGTTCCAGTTAAAGAAAACTACCTCCGTCCAGAGCAATTTTGGAAGATTTCCAACTTGGAGGGGAAGCATAGTATAATGGAAAAAGCCCTGGTCTTGGAGTGGTAGAGCAGGAGTTCAAATATTGGCTTTGCTAATTACTTCATGTATGGTCTTGCCCAAGTGACTTAATCCACAGGGCCTCAGGTTATTCTCTTTTAAAAGGTAGGGAAGGTGGACTAGGTGATCTCTACAATCCCTGTTAGTTTTAAATCCAATGATTTGGCTTAAAAATTGATAGAGCTAAGGATAAGATCTGCCAAGAAGATAAACAAGGATGGATTATAGAATCCGTGGTCTTTGCTTTGGCCCCAGAATAGCCTTTTACATGAGGGGACCTCCCCACTAGTTCTATGAATGCAGAATTCTCATCACTTCAGAACTGTGTCCTGCTGGAGGGGTGGGTCCCTGTGTGTTAGCCTAAACAGAAAGTTACCTCTTCACCATGTGGGATCTCTTGTAGCCCATCTTTCTTTCTAGGATCTCCCCAGCCATCCATATTCTGTTTGGTTCCAATCAATTCATATACTTGAAGTTATAATGGACTTACTAAATGGGTATATAGGTGTGTCCTGGTTTAATAAATTCTAAATTAACATTTAGAGAGGCAATTTGACATAGTAGACTAGGGTACCTAGGCTCAAGTCTTAGTTCTGACACAATACTAGATATGTGACCATGGATGAGTCACAACTCCTTTGTTTGCTTTAAATTAATTTTTATTTTTATTCTGAACTTAGCAGACACCATATGAAATATGCATAGCAGCATAGAAAAGGAGGGCTGTATATGCAACTGCAGGTGCCCCAGACTATTCTCTATTGAATATAAATAATAGAACATTGGCTAATCTAGATTGGTGGAATGTTTCCATACTGGGAGTTCTCTAACACTGACAAAATCTCAGATAAAAACCAGAAAATGCAAAAGAAAATTTAGATTTGCAAAAAAGGGGGGGTTATGACTATTTATCTTGAAAAATTATTTTCCCATTTAAAAGATTCCCATAGTTATTCCTTTAGCATAGTAAACTTCTCTAGTGACCCTGGAACCCAGTTTCCTTGTCTATAAAAGGAAGAGGTTAAATTATGCTTCTCTGAGGTTCCTTCTAGCACTGATGTTTTATGGTTCTGTGAAAATGCCATTCACTTTATACACAACTTTTCAGAAACATACTTGTCATATAAAATGGCATACCTGTCATTTGGTCTGGATCTATGATTGCATTGGTGTAGAGAATGCTCTGGTGAGGAAATTTCTACTACTAATACAGATCTGCAATTATTCTGCAACTCATAGTCAGAAATTTGCCCAGGGCACTGAGAGGTTAAGTCAAACAATCAATCAGTTAAATTTTATTAAGCATCTGCAATGTGCCAAGCACTGTGCTAAGCTCTAAGCACTTAGGTTAAGTTATTTATCCAGGGTCACATGACTGGTAGGGGTCAGAGATGGGCCTCTAACCTAGGTCATCTCGACTCCAAGCGGTCTCTATCCATTATGCTATGCTGACTCTCTAAAGTGAGGTACCACCTATATTACCAGCATCTTGAAAATACATACCTATAACCATAACTCACCTCCTACTGGACATGCCTACAGAAATAGGAACCAAGGAGGATGGGAGGAGGGGTCATGGCCTTGGAAAAAATGAGTCTAGGACTATATTATGAGAAAGAATCGAGGAAAACAGACTTATTGTCAATGAATCCTTCTATGGAAGAAGCAGGGGACTAGCCATAAGGCTAGAATAGATTCTTTTCTATTTGTGAACTTAAATCCTGATGGCAAGAAGGTATTAGTTAGGGGGGAATTAATGAAATGATAATGTGTGAGAAATTGCCATATGAAGCCTTTATATACAAGGCACTCTCTTTGATTTAGGCATCATCACACCCTTGGTAAAGTTGTGCTCATAAATACAGGCTAAAAATTAGCAGCTATAAGACGTTTGATCTACTGTGCTGGAGCCATTGGAGGAAAGGGAGAATCCAGCATTGTAATGGAGACTCCCAGTAGGGAATCAGCTAGAGAAGGAATAAGATAGAAGTCTTTGTGTGCCACTTTGCAGTGGAGAAGAGAGAGAGAGAAATTGGGGTATGGGATAGGAATGAGAAGGGAGAAAGGAGCCAAAGGAAAGACAGGAAACTCTTTCTTCTTTCCTAAGTGGCCCAGCTGGTGAGTGAAGTTTTCCCCAGGCTCTGTGAGGTGTCTCCACTTGACCCCAACTTCTGATCTAAGGGCAGTGACTGCTTACCACATCAAGGAGTGGTGGGCACGCAACCAAATTCCCAAGCATGGAGAAGTCATAATACATTTTCTAGGGTGTTTATACTTTCTGGAAATGATGGAAGACATCACTTTGCACTGATTCAGACTTTTTGCTACTTCATAGTTGAGATGAGACATATACATGAGGATAATGTGTACTCTGTGTGTGTGTGTGAATTCTTTGAGTTTATGTCTATTTAGAAAAATAACTTAAAGAATCAAAATAGGGGACCCTGTCCCCTGCCCACCTGACTCACCTACCCACAGACGTATAGTAGGAATTCTGGTCCCTGGGACAAATTCAGTTGGCTGAATACAACTCCTTCTTTCTCCAAGCCAGCACCAGTCCTTTTGGCGGGAGGGTGACCATTCTTCTTCCCCCCCCAAAAATAACCCCTAAGGCTAAGCTGATACAGGAGCACAGGCTCAAGAGTCAGAAGCCTCAGGTTCACATTTCACCTCTGATATTTACTACATGGCATTTTCCTGACAGAGGATTGTGAAGTGCTTGAGTGATGGGCCATATGTTCATGGTGGGAAGGAAGCATACAGTTGGGTGTTATTACCCCAGGACAAAGCCCCAGTTGCCCCTTCCTAGTTATGCCTATTCATCTACCTTCTTCACTACCGATTGGATTTTGTCACCTAAATGAACTAATCAATTGTGGGATTCTATGTAGTTATTTTTAGGCAATTCTTTTTTTTTTTTCTTTTTAGGCAATTGGGGTTAAGTGACTTGCCCAGGGTCACACAGCTAGTAAGTGCCAAGTGTTTGGTCTGAGACCAGATTTGAACTCAGGTCCTCCTGACTTCAGGGCCGGTGCTCTATCCACTGTGCCACCTAGCTGCCCCCATTTTTAGGCAATTCTAAGGTGATTATTTGCTTTTCTTTCTTCCTTCCTTCTTTCTTTTCTTCCTTCCTTCTTTCTTTTCTTCCTTCCTTCCTTCCTTCTTCCTTCCTCTTTCTTCCTTTCTTTACTTTTTTAGAATACAAGCCTGCTCACTCTGAAGAAAAAATGGGAAACTGACAATGCCCGTATGAAGAAAGAATTAGAAGATGCAACAGAAGAACGTCACAGTGCTGAAGAAAAAGCTAAGAAGGCCATTACTGATGTAAGGAGATGGTTGGTTCTCCACTATTTTCTAGAAACAGTCTTGGGCTATGGTTGAGGGGCAGTATCAAATACGGGGCAACAAATAAGGGTAGTGTCTGTGCCATTCCCCTGCCTCATGACCAGAAATAAGTTGGTTGGTCTCTCTGTATCTAAGTCTATTTGAAAAAAATCAGCTAATGCCATCTTTCTCCTAACTGTTTCATGAAGTAATGAGGATAATTGAATTGATCCATGCAAAACCTTTTTACGAGAAGGAAGCAAAAAAGGGATGCAAACCATTTGTAATTTGAGGGTCAATATGTCTTGTGCTCTACAAATATCATAAACTTTCTGCCATCCCTTGCAAAAAGCTTGCAAATAGCTATTTGCCTCATCAGTAATGGTTTGTGTCAATGAGCGGGAAAGAATCCTGCATCCATTTTTTTTATAATTCATACACCTCCTGAGAGGCAAGAGCAGGCTGGTAAAGAAAAATTTGGGGGTTTGGGAAACTTTCAGTATTTCTCTTTAGTGGAGTTGTAGGTGTTTCTCTTCCACTGGCAATACTACTGTCTTGAATCCATGCAAAAACCTGGTACTTTGGGTACAAAGAAGAAAGAGGGAAAGATTCAGAAAAATTATTATTTGATGAGGGCTTCCTTCAGGTATTGTTAGAATCCTACAGAATAGAAGATTGTGTGTCCATAGTTCCTACAAGTATTGGTTTGAATCAGAGTCATAACTAGCACAAAACAACTGAGATTTTTTTCCTTAGGGTGCCAACATCCAAAGGGGGCTTTATTCCTCACTCACTTGCCCATATCTGGGCTTCCACTGAGAAGATCCTGTAATCATGATATGTCTCTCCCACAACTTACCTTCTTCCACACCTATCGTCCACATCCTTCCCAAAGCTTGGATAGTCAGGAGCTATTGACCATGTCATAGAGGTACGGCCTAGACTCTCTAGAGGATGGAATGGATTGTCCTCTGTGATACCCAATCACTTGCTCTCTTCCTCACCAAATGTCACAAGAATTCCTAGTTATACTTTGACCTGAGCAATAAACCTCTAAAGACTTTCTCTAAATCCCAATAGCTGTGCTCATTCTGAGTCTGGAACTCTCTACAGAAAGTATGGGACAGGGATGAGCACCGTCACTCATACATTCTGAATCAAAGTAGATGCTGGTAGGAGGGAGATGGGTGGTGGCTTGAGAAAGCTTGAAAATGTGTTTGCTATCCAAGAACAAACAATTATCTGAATGTTTGTGAACTCTCATCCCCAGAGAGTAGCTTATCTCTGCTGAATTCTCTCTCCTCTTTCCTGTCTCTGTTTGACAAGTTTATGCAGTAGCAGGTTATAAAAAGCTGAAACTCCTTCTAACACAGGCATCTTATTAAGCTGTCCTTGACAATTTTGAGAAGTGAAAACTCCTCCACAGCCTCTCCACAAATCCATTCAGTCTCAACCAGCTCTGCATAGGGCCGTCTGGAGATGTCTCGGGAAATCATACTATGTCCTGTCGTCTCTGTCATTCTTGAGATCTCTCACACACTTGGTGTTAGGCAGATGGCTGGGAACTTGACAAATAGATAAACTTTAATTCTGAGGGGCAGTGTTGCCAGGGACTGTTAAATGCATGAAGGACAGCTCTTAATGAAGTAAAACACAATGTGAACGGACATCAGGCTAAAGCCAGGGGTATGCTTCACAGACAAAAGTTAACCCAACTCTGCCCTGCTCATAGGCATTAGGAAGAGTAGGCTGATTCGAGGTTCTTGAAGGCTACATTTAATGACTCTAATTCTGTGATCTGTGGCTTTAAATGAGACAGGAAAAAAAAAACTTTAGGATGAATGATTACGTAAACTGTGGTACATTAATTTAATGGAATAGAAAGACAATACAGCATAGTGAAGAGAGTTCTGGCTTCAGAGTCAAGAAGATTTGGGTTCCAGATCTGCTTCTAATATACTGGTTTATTTAGGTCTTAGTATTTTTCAGAAGAATCTCAGATTCTAGATTACAGAGAAAATGCTGACCCGTATTGGTAGAGGAAGAGTCCTCATTTGGGAATTCCCTATACTAGGGAAATAATAAATCTAGTGTCTCTCTCTCTCTTTTTCTCTCTCTCCATATGTGTGTATATATGTGTGTATATATACATGTATATGTGTATACATATATGTACTGCATACACATACATATAGGCATATGTGTACATATACCTATATGTATATACATATGATACATATGTGTATGTACATACATGCACATACATATATGTGTATTTTATAGTGCTTCACTAACCAAAAAAAAAAAGAAATCCATTTTTATCTAGACTTTTCCACCTCTTCCCTAGAGTCCACTGCAAAGATTTCCATGTTTTCTTCGGCTCAATATATATATATGGTAGAGTTTGCCGTCTTCCATGGGATGCACATCCATGGTCTCATGTGATGGAGCCAATCTGGGCTGCAATACAGCCTTGAGCTTGTTCTTCCTCCAGCTTTTCCCAAGACCTAAACCATGCATAATTTGGGGAGACTGAAAAGTGGCAGAGCCAACAGTAGCTGCAGAGAGACTAAAAGATGGAGAGGAAAGAAGCAGTAGTGAGGCCTAGCACTCCACCAGACCCTAAGAATGCAATAATTGTATTATAGATTTACTAGAAGGTATCTTAGGAGCCATTGAGTCCAACTACTTCATTTTTATTAATATTTTAATAACAGTTTTATATGCCTTTGTAAAGTCTCTCCCATTACCCCCCAAGCAAAACCAAACAACCAACCCAAAAGTCAAAAGCAAAACATGTATCATAAGTAGCAAAACAAATTTCTACATTGGCCATGCATGAAAATGTATTTTAATTTTATCACCTCTCTGGTAGGAGATGAATCAACTGCTTCATTTTACATCAAAGAAAACTGAGATGTACAGGTTCATTAACTCACCTGGTGTCACACCACTCCTAAGAGTCTAAGGCAGGATTTGAACCTAGATCTTCCTAATTCCCCCTCCCATATTTTATCTACTGTACCATATTGTAAGGGTGGCTAGTGGAATACTGTTATCTTTTTCTCATTCCAGGCAGCATTGTTGTCTGAGAATTTGAAGAAAGAACAGCACACCTGTGTTCATATGGAAAGGATAAGAAATAACATGGAACAGACCATTACAGACTTACAGAAAAGACTAGAAGAAGCTGAGCAGAGTATTGTGAAGGGGGGCAGTAAGCAGATCCAGAAACTGGAATCCAAGGTATGGGTTTGGCTTTGAATTGGGATAGGACCCATTAGGACCCATTACTAAGGCAGCTGGAGATATATTGGGAACACAAATAAGGCAGAAGGCAAGTGCTCAAAGCATCACAATAAAAAGAGGAAAGAATCTTGAATCTCAGGCCCACATTTGCCTCCCCCCCCCTTTTTTTGATATTTGGAAGGAAAATGAACAGGAGCAATAATGTCTGATTTCCCATACAAAGATTTCTCATACAGATGCTTAGGAGCATTATGTTCCATTTCCCATGGAACTCCACCCTTCCTAGGCCTGGCCTTGAAATTAGGGGCTTATCTTCATAGTGCCACCCAAAGCCTGAAATCATTTCCCCAAATCTCAAGGAATTTTTTTTTGTCCTGAGTTCCACACTGCCTAGGCCCTACTACCCTGACCATTATGGTGTTTTCCTTTAGAATGTTCAAGGCTTACAGGTTGTCTGATCTTGGTTTAGTGTTTTCTTATTGTTTTCAGGCCAATAGATAAGGCATTTCTAGAATAAGTCATTGTATTAGGTGGTTCAAAATGGTCTTGGGATAGGCGGTCAGGGCGCAAGATGGCAAATCTTTATTATATCTGCCCATTTATTGAGGGCATTTTGTTAAAGAAATTAATGCACACAGATGTATATGTGTGTGTATATATATACACAGATGTATGTATAAGACCATTATATATAATGTATATAAATATAATAGTCCTGTACTATATACATACGTACATATATATGTGCATGTACATATATATGTATATACCAGACCATTAAGTATGTATTATATATAATAGTCCAGTACTACAATAGCTTTATACACACACACATACACATACATACACATACATATATATACACAATCAAATATAGGTATATGAGTGCATATGTGTATATGTATGTGTCTATCTATATCTATCTACCTACCTATCTGTCTCCTGTACTACAACAGCATCATGGTACACAATACGTTTAGAGTGCTGGATTTGGAGTGAAGATGACCTTGATTCAAATCCTGCCTCCAGTACTTACTAGCTGCATGCTCATGTACAAGTCACTTTATTTCTCTGAGCCTCAATAACCTCATCTGTAAATTAGTGATAGTAATATATCTACTTCACAGGGTTGTGAGGACTGAATCAGATGATGTCCGTATAGCATTTTGCTTCCCTAATATCATGAGTTGTTATATAAGTTGTACCATCTGCCTTATTTGAATCATTCTATAAGACAACATATTAATCATTCAATTGCGAAGTCCTTTGAGACTTACAAAGTACCTTCCTTACAACAGCCTTGTGAAGTAAATAGTGCAGGTATCCATCTTCTTAAGCTTCAATTTCTTCATCTGTAAAACCGGAATAATGAGTGAATTGTCTAGCATCACCAGGTTAAAAATGTAAGAACCGAGGTCTTGCAGCTCTCTACTACATACTGCCTCTCAACATTGCGATTGTAGTTATGCTACATCTCGAATGATATGTGAATGTGTACAGACCACAAACCTATATTCTATGCCTATGCTTGATTTCAAGTTCCATTATTGGGGTCTTAAATGTCATGACTGAACAGGGGAAAGTCTCAGACCTTTCTCACATCTGAAGTAGACTTTGAATCATAGGAGAAATAGGCTAGTTCAGGGGTAGGGAACCTGTAGCTTTGAAGCCATATGTGGCCTTCTAGGTCCTTGGGTGCAGCCTTTTGACTGATTCCAAGTTTTACAGAACAAATCCTTTTATTAAGGAGATTTGTTGTATGAAGTTTGGATTCAGTAAAAGGGCTGCCCTTGAGGACCTAGAGGGCCACATGTGGCCTCGAGGCTGCAAGTTTCCTACCCCTGGGCTAGTCCATGCATAGTTGATAAATAGACCATTTAAGATGTCAAAAGTCCCTTTCAGTTCTGGTTCAGTCTTCAAGAAAAATAATTGTCCCAAACAGATAACCATATTTTTAAAGGCCACAATATAGAGAGATCCTCCAGCATCCCTTAATTACCCCACTTCCAATTATTTTATGGGCTGGCCAATAGAATGCCCACTTTTTCATGAACTGAGGTGCTGTTTTGGTTGCAGATCCGTGAACTAGAAAATAAACTAGAATGTGAAGTACGTCGGAGTTCTGAGGCCCAGAATGGAACCCTTAAATTTGAGAGGTCTATTACGGAGCTGACTTATCAGGTATTGTGGAAAAATTACTTGAGGCAGTGAGGTGGTACAGTAGATAGAGCCCTGGACTTGGAGTCAGGAAGATCTGAATTTGAATCCTTCCTCAACCACTTATTACTGGTGAGACCTTGGGTGGTAAGTGGCATTTAGCCTCTCATTGCCTCAGTTTCTTCATCTGTAAAGTGAGGGTAAATAACAGCATTTATTTCATAGTGCTATGAGAATTTAATGAGATAACAACAACATAAAGTACTCGGTGAACCTTAAAACATTAAATAAATGCTAACTAGTATTATTGTTGTTGTTTTTGTTGTTATGTTTTTTCATTGTTGGTCCTTCCGTTAGGAGGAAATGTAGTTTTTCAAATCTAAAATGGCTTTCTCTCTCCCACTGCTTTCACTCTCCATCTTTCTTGGTCTTCAGTCGTAGATACTGACTCACCCTTCCTGGTCTCCCATGCTGTTAGTGGTATGGGTGGGCCCCTCCCCTTTCAGAGCTCTCAGGAAGCAGGAGCTGACTGGCAAGCCGCAATTAAAAGTGAAAAGCTATTTATATACTCAAGTCATTTTTCACAGTTGGTGTCTACAGCTCCCTCAGAAAGACGACTTTCTCTATGATGCTGGGTGAGAACAGGGTATAAATGAAGAGAATGGCAGGCAGGCCAAGCCAGCTACCGTGGGATGCTTAAGAGGAAACTGGACTAAAATGGAGGGAACGGCCACTTCTGCTCCCAATTTTCAGGTTCCACAAAAATTTAAAGATACGGAGCAGCCTAATGATCTATGTTACAACATGGATATATTACTAGCAGGCTATTTGTCAGCTAGGTTTTATAACCTTCAGCCCTCAAATATTCTTCACTCGATGACATCTCATGGGACTTTATTAATATTGTAGATTTCTTCCAAAGTTAGTGTGCTGGTCACTGTCTTTTTTTCCCTCTATAGACAGAAAAATGCCATACCTCCAAAGAGCCTCACAAGTTGATTTCAGCACCTCTAAAATAACAATACAAGCCTGAAACTACAACGCATTTAAGAGAAAGGAAAAATAGGCCAGAGAAAATAAAAATCAATCAGGGGGAAAAAGTACACCCATACGGACCAAAAGACCCCATCTTACTCTAGCCACATTGTACAATACAGTTCACTTGATAATTTCGAAGTGGAAAGGCAAAAAAAAGTATAAAGGCAGTAATTTATAGACCATACTCAGATAAAAGATGCTTGATACGTATCTAGCTGCTACAGCCTGGAACCAGCCCATCTGGGAGTCAGGAGACCAAGATTCTATTCTGGGCCCTGCTTCTGATTCTTCGTCTGACCTCCATGCCAACATTTCTTCACCTCTATAACAGGGAGGATGGTGTTAGTAATTGGCAGTAGATAATGTTTCTGAAGGGCTGTGATATTTTCGGAGGGAATATGCCCAGGGAATACAAAGTATAGCCATTACTTGTGGAGTTTTTCCTTCAATCCTTGTCAAGAACGTGCACCTCACCCTGGAATCAGATATTTCTCTAGATTAAGCTGAGAATGGAAAGCAGTAATGGTACAATGGAAAGCATTTTGGTTTAGACTTAGAGGATCTGAGTTTGAATCCCAGAACTGAAACTAACCACTTGTCTGATCTTAAGCAAGTTACTTAGCATCTCTGGGCTTTAGCTTTCTCACCTGTGAAAAGAAGAGTTTGGGCTTAGGTGACCCCTAAGGGTCTCTTCCAACTCTAACTCTTTGATCCTATGGTTCTATGAGGGCCTAGAGAATGAAGGAGAAATCACAACCACAGGAAAATTCCTTGGGGTGCATGTTGCCAGCTAAGCCCCTTAAAACCTGAAAGACGAGTTAGCTGTCTGCCTTGTACTGATCTGCTCCTGAGGATGGTGGAGCAGCTATTTTTTTTAACTCATGTGCATGCCACTGAGGACAAATTGTGTTCCTTATTAAATAAAATATTTGTAGTTTCCCCATTCATTTTTCTTCTTTCTATAAGCAACTTTACTACTGAATAAAATACCAAAGACACACAGTTTCTTTCACTTTTCAATGTCCTGAAGAATGCTTTCATGTTTACTTATATACTAGCCTAGTTTCTATATGGAAGTATAGCTTGGTCCAGGAATGTGCTGGAGCCAGCTTTTATTGGCTCACAAGAGCTGATTGTTAATTTTTTAGTACGATTGTTAAATTTTCACCTCTGAAATCAGCAAATACTATAAATCTTGCCTTGATTTATTGTTTTGTTAATTGTTTAGACTTAAGAAAGTGTTGGAGAAAATGTGAATGATGTCAATGAAACTTAAAATTGTGCATTGTGTACATTTTTTTGGAGAACTAGCACCAACACACCCCTGGTAGTATCCCTTTACTGTCAGGCTCAACATAATTATTTTGGGGGTAATAACTGTTCAATCCATAGCTCAAGTCCCAATTTGATGCATTAGTCTCTTGCTAGATAATGCCAGAGACACATAAATCCAATTAGCAAAAGCATTTAATTAAGACATGCAACAACACAACAAAATTAGGAACAGAATCAATTAGTAGAACATTTTCTGCACCTGTACACAAATAGATACAATCTCTTACACTTTACAGGGCCAGTTAAAAACAAATGTGGTGAGTGGTAACTCAGTCTGACTAGACTGTAGGGTTTATGTTAAGGAGTAGTGAGAGATAAAATTAAATGGACCTAGATCATGGATTACTTTGAGAGACAAGTAGAGGGGTTTGAACTTGGTGAAGTAGGCAATGGAGAACCTCTGTAGGTTAGAGAAGGGAGGATTGAAGTGCCGGAGGCAGAGTTTCGAGAAGATGAGTCTAGCCCCAGTGTGTAGGATTCTGGGAGAGAAGAGTAAATAGAGGCAGGGAAAAAAAGCAAACAGAATGTTATAATAGTCAGGACCTGAATAAAAACAGTAGTAATGGTAATGGAGAGGAAAAAGTGCATCTGAGAGACATTTCAAAGGAAGGATAATTGGATACAGGAAGGGTGAAGGAGGTGGAAGTCAAGAGATTACAGAGATTTCTAGCTCAAAGTACCGGAATGTTGGTTCTATCACTGAAAGTCAGGAAAGTTGGGCAGGAGTGTTGGTTTGAGAAATGATGTAAATAGCTCTCAGCTCAAAATATCCAAAAACTGAAATCAAAGTGTAGGCACTTGGAAACATGGAACTGTAGCGTGAGTAAGAAGTCACAACTGTCGATAAAGATTTGAGAGTTGTAATATGATAGATTTAGAGCTAGAAGGGGCTCTAAAGATCATCCACTCCAATTCTCCCATTTAACAGATAAGGAAACTGAACCCCAGAAAGGTTAAATGGCTTGGCTAGCAGAGAGGCAGAATCTGAATCCCAGTCCTCTGGCTCCCAATCTAGCAATCTTTTCCTGAGTCATCTGCAAACGGATGTCTAGTTGAAGCCATGACAAAGAGAAAGACTGACAGAGAGGGACAGAGACGGAGAGACAGACACAAAGACAGAGCGGGACAGAGACAGAGAAAGAGAGAGAGACATAAAGGGATAGAGACAGAGAGAAACAGAGACAGAGATTATATAAGGATTTTAAGAGTCAAAAATGCTCAATTTGTACATCAGAGCAACAGAAATGATTCCATTGAATAAATGATTAACTCTCACTAACAAGAATGTGTAAGGGGAAGTAATTGCACCATTTACTCATGGTGTAAGACTTCTCTCAACCTCATGGGTCTGCTTGTCCTTCCTAAATTGTCTTCTTTTATGTCCTCTCGTGCTTGCAGGCAGAGGAAGATAAGAGAAATCTAAGTAGAATGCAGACTCTGATAGATAAACTTCAGCTAAAAGTGAAAAGTTACAAACACCAAGTAGAGGCCGTGGTAAGTACCGGGGGTAACCGCTCTCTCTCATAAAACTTACCTGTTCTGTGACTCTTACCATTCCGTTGTCACCTGGGAAAATAATCTAATGATCGAATCTTTAATAGAGTGTTTATGGAGTGATGACAACAAGTACACATAGCTTTGAAGGAGTGACACATTAACTGAGGACCCTTAAAGAGAGCAATGTCTCAAAGAAAAGTAATCTATCATGGTAGGTGTTCAGGTTCTATGGCAAGTTAGCTAGAATATTTTGGGGTGGTAGGGTCTTACCTATAATTATAACAGTTACAAGAAACACACCATTGTATTTACATAGACTCAAAGAATCTCATTGTTGGAAGGAACCTTAGAGACCATGTAGTCCAACCTGTCCTTAATCCAAAGTACCTTCTGTAGCTTCCTCAAGTGGTCATTCAGTCTTTCCTTGAAGAACTCTAGAGACAGGAAATCTATCATCTCCTGACGAAACCCATCCCACTTGTTAGGAATTTTTCTCCTGTGTCAAACCTAAATCTGCCTATTTGCAGTTTATATGCATTGTTTCTAGTTCTTGTCTCATATAGTTTTCTTTTATGATTTCTTGAAATAAAGCTCTGGTAAACCAGGCTTTGATAAAGTCCATTGGGATTCAAATGGAGCTACTTAACTATGCCTTTAAATTCAAATCACTCTGGCTTTCACTGATTGGCCAATAATAGGTCCCAGTCCAAGCCTCACTTGGTCATTATTTGGGTTTTGAAGGCTCAGAGTGAGTGTAAATAGCAGTTGTTTCTGTTCTGGCCAGAAACTGAGAATCTTCCCCTCCCAGATTGATTCTTTTGTGAAGTCAAACTAGGCCATCTTTTGCCTCAATTCTTACCTACCCTTTAAATCATTGAACGGATGTCGCCTTAGACAAACTGAGACCTGGGAAAGTCCTTAGCTTAAAAAGGCCAAGGTCTCCCACTGCATCTGAGGCCATCACCAGTGGTCCTGACCTATGCCTTGCCGCTGGACTCTTGATGATTCTGGAGGACAGAGTAGGGCTGATGACTACCCAGACCTGCCTCACTTAAATCCAATTCACTTGCAAGTCAAGACATTACCCTCCTGATGTCATTGGTTTTCTTAAGAGAAGGAAGGATGAACAACCACCCCTGGAACCAAGAAACACAAGTCTAATCCAGGTAATACACACTTCAAATACTTGAAAACTGCTATCATGTTCCCTCTATATTTCCTATTCCTATAGGTGAATGTCCCCATTTTCTTCACCCTCATCTCCTATATCGTGTAGAGCTATTATTATGCTGGTCACCCTCTTTGAGAATGGTCTGACTTGTCATTCCCTTCAAAAATTCGGCAACTAGAATTGAATACATGACTCAGTATATGGTCTAACTAAGGCAGAGAATACAGAAATATTCCTACCCTCTTTATGAGCCCTATGCTTCTCAGTGCAATCTACAATAGAATTAGACTTTTAGGCTGCCATGACCCATGACACATGTTGACACGTGTTGATCTTGTAGTCCACTAAAACCCCCAGATCTTTATCACAGGAACTATTTCTGATCATAATCATCCATTCTTTACTTGTGAAGTTGGTTTTTTTTCAACAATGTATGGAACAATATGCTTGTCCCTATTAAATTTTATTTTATTTAATCTAGCACATGGTTGCGTCTATAAAGTTCTTTCTGGGTCCTGACTGTATTATTCAAGTCTTGGCTATTTGATGTTTATTTCATGCAAGTTATTGATAAGAATGCTAAATAGTGCAGCGCCAAAGACAAGATCTGGGACACTTCTCTAGAGACTTCTGTCAAGTTGTCATTAACCTATGACTACTTTTTAGATCTGGTCATTCACTCAAATCCATCTTCCTGTAGAGGATAGAGCCCTGGGCCTTGAGTCAGGAAGACCTGAGGTCAAATCTGGCTTCAGACAATTACTAGTTGGGTAACCCTGGGCGAGTCACTTAACCTCTTCCTGCCTCAGTTTCCTCAACTGTAAAATGGAGATAATAGTCTCCAGTGCCCTGGGAGCATCTGCTTCCCAGGATTGTTATTAGGATCAAATGGGGTAATATTTGTAAAGTGCCTGGTACATAGTAGGCACTTAATAAGTGCTTATTTCCTTCCTTCCTATGCACAAGGATAACTTCAGAATTTATCAAATGCTTTGTTGAAATCCATTTATTTACAGCCTCCTCCTGATTTACCCTGTCCAAAGCAGGGTTGGGGTGGGTGGGGCAGAGGAAATTAGGTGAGTTTGTCATGGTTGTTCTGCTTCCCTTTCTAAGCTCTCATTAACTAACCCTTAAATGATGTGTTCTAGTATTTTGCTAGGAATAGAAATCAAGATACTTGGCCTATAGTGAGCAGATTCCACAATCTTCCTTTAAAAAAGGGGAGGAAGAGGGTATTTGCCCTTCTCCAGTCTTGTAGCGCTTGTCCTGTTATCCAAGATTTTTCAAAAAGTACTAACTGCAGCTAATCAGTCATATCTGGCAACTCTTTCAGTGCCCTGGGATAGAGTTCGTTCAGGTCTGTGATAGGAACTTACTGAGGGTGATAGATCCTATCTCATCCCTTATGTCTGATTTCCACTCCTTGCTTAGCAATTTTGTTTTATTCTTCCCAGGCCAAGATCATCTTCCTCCAAAAAGAAACCAATGAGCTATGGTATGTCCTGCTCTTTATTGTACCAGACGTAGCTGATCTATTGGGGGAGTTTTCTCTTTCCCCTTCTCTTTTCAGTGCGACTTACCCTTGATTAGGATTGCAAGGTTAGAGGCCCTTGTTAGGGATATTCCAGTCCTGGCCAGGAGCTCATCACTCCTACATTTTACGTGGTTCAGAAATCCAAATCCCCCTGTCAGACACCATCTTCTTAGCCAGCTGTTCATTTCTCAAATCTAGCTTTTTCTTCTGAATTCCGTACCTTCAATTAGTAGTAGTGATTGAAAACCTCCGAAGCACAGCTGGTGTTTTGTTTGGTTTTCAGTGTTTTGCCTGGGACTTCATAATCTTTAGCAATCCTCTTTAGGTGCCTCTTTGTGGGGATATTTTTTGTCCTCACGTGGATCTTTAGTAGACAGTATTTTAACAGTTCTGTGTATGTGCTCCTAGAAGCTGGCAAACTTCTCTGTTACATAATAATAATAGCTGCCATTTTATATAGGGATTTAAAGCTTGCAAAATGATTTACAGATATTATCACCTTTTATCCTCACAACAGCCCTGGCAGGTACTATTATTATCTCCATTTTACAGATGAGGAAACTGAGGCAGACAGAGGTCAAGAGACTTGCCCAGAGTCTCACAGCTAGTAAATGTCTGAGGATGGATTTGAACTCAGGTCTTTCATGACTTCAGGTCTAGCATTCTGTCTGTTGTGCCTACTAGTTGCCTCTATGTGTCAGACCAATAATTAACTGCCTTAGTATTGGTCACCAGACATCATTACTTATCTCTTCTTCTTCTATTATTGGGTGACCTTTCGCTTGGTAGCATCTGATCCATAACATCATTTTTTGGAGTATAAGAAGCATTTCCCCTCCGGGAACAGCTTTATATCCATTACTTAGCTTCAAGTGTTGAGTTCTCCTTATTCTCCCTCTCTTCTCTATGTCCCCTTCTAACCTTTAACTTCTGATTCAGGTGAGGTTTTTCTTCTGTCTTTTTCTTCTTTATTTTCTCTATGGAGCACTCATTACATTCTTTCAAAGAACACTTAATTTCTCCTGTTACCTGAAGAGGAAAAATGTGTTCCTGTAACGCTTTCACTTTTTCTGCTAGATGGAGATTAATTTGCTCTTTATGTCTACCCAAGTCTTACCTGACATGAAGCAGAAACAGACATAGCACACTTTCCACAGGTCATCATAAAATTCCCCTCGCCTGTCTTCCATAGTTGCTTGAACCAAAATCTTCAGTCTCGTCTTCTTTTCAGCGGCTCTCTTGGCTAACCACTGTGGCTAACTTCTAACTAAACACTTGTAATTCTGTGTGGTTGACAGGAAGCCTAGCAGTCAGGGAAGGAGAAGAAGATATCTGAAGATCAATCACATGGATAATCACAAAGACACAGGAAAATTGATCATTAGAATACAGATCTATAGAATATAAATCAAACATAAGGAGATACAGGAAAGTCGATCAATAGAATACAGATCTATAGAATATAGACCAAACATAAGGAAACATAGGAATATAGAAGACAAGGAATATGGATCACATTAAATAGCTGTATTTTGTCTATGTCTCTTGAATGCTTGTGTCTGCTAAATAAATAAAACTTTCCCTGTTTGTTTCCCCCTCCCTTTCCTATCCCTGGGGGTGATAGCGAGTGTGGCCTGTCCATGACTATTGACTCATTCTGTGACTATTTCTCATTCTGTGGTTTCTGCTGCTGGGTACTCTTAAGGAAAGCCTTATTTATTTAAGTCAGACTTTCCTATTCTGGTCATAGAACAACATAATCAGCTCAACTACTTTTAATTGCTTGTCATCCCATTCCTCCTACTACACACTAAAAGAGATCGAAGCAAATAAAAACCAAATCACAAATGGAAATCTAATCTTCTAATCAAATTTATCTTTGTTTCTCCTTGATGCTAAAGTTTCCTTTTTCTGGCCACTAACCACTCTGTGCCCACTGGGCTTAGGGATGGGAGGATGGGACAGACACAAGCCTTCAAAAACACACATATAGGAAAATAGAAAAAAAATTAATGGGAGCTACTGACTTCATTTCACATTTTCACTGACCTCTCAATGTCTCTCTCCACTTCTCTGGCTGCTAAACTTTCTGTCAATCACATAATATTGGATGTATTCAGTTTATCATTATCAGGTTTTGGGGTAAGCTTTACTGCACCTAATTTGTGCAAAGTTTATGTTCTATGGCACTGATTCTCAAGCTTTTTGGTCTCAGGACCCTTTTGCATGCTTAAAAATTATTGAGGACCCTCCCACCGGAGCTTTTGTTTATGTGGGATTATATCTATTGATATTTGCTATATTAGAAATTAAAACATTGTAATACTATTATAGAAATAATATTATTATTTCTATTTCTATTATTATGTTCTATTATTTCTATAATTTCTATTATTATTAATAATATTAATATTATTATAGAAACAGCTTTGACCTCCCAAAGACATACTTTGAGAACCACTGCTCTATCATTAAGAGCGATATTAGGGTCAGAACACCAGGGTTTGAATCTCTGATTCTTATTACCTGTATGACATTAGGCAAAGCACTTAAACCTATTGGGTTTAAGTTTCTTCAGTTCCCTTCTGGGCCTCAGTTTCCTCATCTGTAAAATGAGAGGGTTGGACTAAATGACCTCTGTTGTTGTTCAGTCATGTCTGACTCTTTGTGACCCCATTTGGGATTTTCTTGGCAAAAAAACAAAATAAAACACTGGAGTGGTTTGCCACTTCCTTCTCCAATTTATTTTACAGATGAGGGAAGTAAGGCAAACAAGATCAAGTGACTTACCCAGGGTCACACAGCTAGTGAGTGTCTGAGGTTGGATTTCAACTCAGATCTTCCTGACTCCAGGCTCAGCACTCTATCCACTGCTCCATCCCCTAGCTGTCCCAATGATCTCTAAGGTCTGTGTATCAGTCCTCAATTTAGGAGAGGATGCTTGAAAGGATGTTCTGTTTGTAACTTGAATTCCTGATGTGTTGAAAACTGAATTCCTGCAAATATCTGAAATGTCACAGGCTTAGCTCAGAAATCAGGAGTTATAATCTTGTTACACACTTCTGAAGTTTTGTTTTTTTTTTTTACTACGTTAACTGCGGTCACAGCAGTGAGACCATCTGAGCCCTTGGGACTTTTTCTTGTTTCTTGACAGGAAGCACAAGCCAATCAATATCTGTACCAGTTTAAGACCCAGCAGCATGAATTGGATGATGCGAAGGAGAGAGCAAAAGTGGCCGAATCCCAGATCAACAAACTTAAGGCTAAAGCGAGAGAGATTGGAAAAAAGGTACGTCATATATACAAGGGCTTATCACATATTAACCATTTCACCAGATGTACTCTGCTCTCCATGCAATTTTATTGACCTAGCTTATGAAAACTTTAAAAATACCTGACTCTCCCTCTCTTCTCTCTCTCCTTCCCTCCCTGCTTCTCTCTCTCCTTCCTTCCCTCCTTTTCTCCCTCCCTTCTCCTTCTCTCCCTCTCTCCCTTCTTCTTTCCTCTCTTTCTCCCTCCCTCCTTCCTTTCTTCCTTCCCTCCCTCTTTCCCTTCCTCCCTCCCTTTCTCCTTCTTTTCCTTCCCCTTCCTTTTTCCCTTCCTCCTTCCCTTCCTCCTTCCTTTCCTCCTTCCTTTCCTTCCCCCTTCTTTTCCTTCCTCCATCTTTTCCTCCCCCTTTCCTCTCTCTCTCCCTCCTTTCCTTCCTCCCTGCTTTCCTCCTTCCCTTCCTCCTTCCTTTCCTCCCCCTTTTCTCTTTTCCCCTTCCTTCCTCCTTCCTTCCCTTTCTCCTTTCTTCCTTCTCTCCCTCTCCCCCTCTCTATCTCTTCTTCCATGTATACATATACACACGTACACATATGGATGGATATGGATGGATATACATAATATATGTATATATACACACAAACACATATACATTTATATAATGCTTCAAGGTTCATAAAGTGCTTTCCTTACTACAGTCTTGTGAGGTAAGTAGAGCTTCATTATCCCATTTTATAAAGAGAGAGCCGAGGTGACATATTCATGGTTCCATAACTAATGAGGGTCAGAGCTGGGTCTCAAGCCCAAGTGGAGTAACCTCAGGTCCAGTGTTCTTTCTGTCACTCTACATTGCTGCCTTTTCTGTAGGTGAAAAAGGCCCAGACTGGTTCTATAGGGACACACTTTTAATCTTTGTTAGATTCTTGACAGGCCTGATTTCTTTCAGGATCCATTGCAGTATTGTGGACTAGGCTAATCTGTGTCAAATGACAATCAACAGCCCTGCAAGAAAAGTTGATTGACAGGCATGAGAAGGGAACCACTTGGAATGTCAAACAGATCTAATTGTACTTTTAAAATATAACATTGTTGTCAAAGGGTCACAAAGCATGAATGGTGTCAGTGTGTGTGTGTGTGTATGTGTGTGTGTGTGTGTGTGCATGCACGTGTGCATGCATGGGTATATACGTGGGCATGCATCTGGGTAGTGTCTCATTCTCGTGGCTCATATCTCCCACTGAGGAAACCCAGTAAATTGTAGCATGATGCCCCCATTATGCTGAGACAGATTCTCTACTTGCAAACATACCATTCTAATAAAAGATGATTAAGAGAAGCGGAGAAAATGGAGTCCCGTTAGTTGTGTGGATGTGTTATACTCCACTGAGTTATTTATAGTTCTAAATGGGAGGGTTCTGCTGGCAAAGGCCTCCTCCCCATAATTCCTCTCTTGGTTGAAGGCAGGAGTGAGGGAGGGAAGGTCATTTTTTCTTTTTCTTTTCCTCTTCATTTTTCTGCTGATCTTCTTGCCGGTCCCCAGCTGCACAAGGTGAACACCTCATCTGCCAGTTTCTCAGGCCAGGAGAACATGAGTCTCTAACTCTCTACCGTCTCTCTCCTTTGTGCAAGGTGAGGGCCAAGCCCTTCAGAGACGTCTTCTTCCTGGGGGTCATCACCCAATGGATCTTCTTCTTTTCCTTTGTCTTTTTTCTTCTCTTCTTTCAGTATCTTCCACTTACTGTCTCAGTATTTTGGCAGCCATACCCTGTGGGAAAAGGAAAAGATTCCAACACCCAATAACAATAGTAGCTCATACTCACACGGGAATTTGAGGTTTGCAAAGTGTTTTACTAAGGAGTGATACATTTATTATTTTAATAAATTGGAACACAGGTGAGAGAGTGCTTTAAGGGACTTTAAGATTAGAGGATTAGGGTTTTATCTCTAACTGTCCCTGAATTACTGGGGTGAAATTTTCCCATCTCTGTGACATTTAAACTTTATACTTGCAAAATGAGGGTAATAATTTTTACCTTGGGGCAGCTAGGTGGCACAGTGAATACAGTGCCAGGCCTGGAGTCAGGAAGACTCATCTTCCCAAGTTCAAATCTGGCCTATGACACTGACTAATTGTGTGACCCTGGACAAGTCACTTAATGCTGATTGCCTCAATTTCCTCATCTGTAAAATGAACTGCAGAAGGAAGTAGTGAATCATTCCAATATTCTTGCCAAGAAAATCCCAAATGGGGTCATGAATAGTTGGACACTACTGAAATGACTGAAAAACAACAATTTTTTCCTTTATATCAAAAAGAGTCAAAGAACAGAGGAAAAACCACTGGATCAGTAATCATGCTACCTAACTCTGCTGCTAACTGGCTGAATAAACTTTAACAAATCACTTAACCAGTTGGGGCCTTAGTTTATTCATCTATAAAATGGGAGGATTCGATTAAGTAATTTTTGAGATCATTTACAGATTGACTATTATCCGAAGTTTGAAGTTGTAAAGGGAGTAAAAAACAAAATAAAAAGGCTCACCATTATATTGATAGGCCACTGCCCCAGAATCTAAGTCAGATATAACTAGTGTAAGAGCAGGTGAGAAATATGACTATCCAGCCTACCAATTTCTTAGTGAAAAAGAAAATGAGGCAATAAAGTTCTCCAATCTTTCAGTTCCGTCTCCTCTGAGAAAAATAAAGGCAAGAGCCTACAGTGTTTCCTTTTCTGGGACATTGTTATCCCCTCTCTCTGAGGCTCTTGTCTTTGGCCTCTGTCATGGCACCAGAAGGAAATCATAAGGGAGCCCACGACGGTCAACGCTGTCACGCTAAGGTGCTCTCTCTCCCCTAGAGGTTGGAAATTGCCACAGGAAGCCAGGGACCAGTCAGGAGGAGAAGGCAACAACCCATCAGGGCTCACACACTTGAGTTGTGCAGACGCTGACCAATCTGCAACAGTTCTAAATGGAGTGATGTCATAGGACCCAAGGATTCAGAGCCTGAAGGGACTCCCTTCATTTTGTAGATGAGGAAACAAATCCATGGTGAACTTGCCCTCAAATTCGCAATAATTAGCCTTTAAGAGATTGGAGAATTAAAACCTAGGTCTTCTGAATTTGAGTCCAGTGACCTTTCTCTGACATCAGATTCTCTTGATGATAATTTAAGTGAAGTTGCCTTAGTGATGAGGTCTTTGATGGAGGGACTGCCTATATATTGTTGACAAGGACAATGGAAATGGCTTCAATGCAGAAAGACGTTTGAGAAAAGGATTGCCTTTTCTTTATTTTGAGGCAATTGGGGTTACGTGATTTGCCCAGGTCACACAGCTAGCAAGTGTCTGAGGCCGTATTTGAACTCAGGTCCTCCTTACTCCAGGGCCAGTGCTCTATCCGCTGTGCCACCTAATTGCCCCCAGAATTCTCTTTTCTTAAGAATTTATTTTAAAATAATAATAATCTTAGTGTTTTGCATCTTCAAAGCATAGGAATCATTTTAGTACAGCGGAAAGAACCATAGCTTTGAAGTTGGAAGATTCTAGTTCAAATTGTGCCTCTGACAATTACCACCTGTGTGACCTTAGGCAAGTCACTTTATTTTCATGGTTTTCAGTTTCCTTAACTATAAAATGAGAGTTTTGAGCTTGATAACCTCTGAGATCCCTTCTAGCTCCACATTTATGATCTTATGTTATAGCTACAGTCTGAATTATTGGAAGACTTAAGAAGTTCCTGACCATAACATGAGAATTCAGATCGCTTCACTTATGAGTCTCTAAAGAGGCAGATAGATGTAAAGAGCTTTTCAAGCAGCTTTAGAATTAGAAAAATAGAGTATGGAATGGAATTTTGGAGTCTCAGTTCAGTGACTGCCCAGAATTCTCATGTAACTCATGGATTTGTGTCTTAGGAGGCTAGAGAAGCTGTCTTAGAATAAGGGATTGGAGTGATGCAATGACCCTACCTGAACAGGGATTATAAAAAAGTAGTTTTAATCCAGTTATCAAACACAGTCCAAGAATATATGCTGATAATTCTGGTGAGCTCCAAGACCACTCCTCTGCCTCCATTTTCTCCATGGAAATGATGCTTGGATAGAGGCATGACCTGTGTGGAATGGAGGATCTGCTAGAACTGAGGAGGTGGGTTCTCCCTCACTGGGTTCTCCTTATATGTTTGAGGGGGTGTCCAAGGTAATTACGCTAGTTCAAAGTCTGTTGTGCATGAAGCAAAGAAACAGTTGTGCATTAGCTACCTACCTAACAAAGTCTAGGTAACAATAGTTCCCATGGGTCTTGTAATCCTATCTGCCCATAGTGTAAGGGCTTCCAACGTGAAATTCTGTCTGTATCACACGGTCTGATCCCTCTCTTATAATACATGTGGACCTAGCTGTGAACTACTGCATTCCATTTATTGGGATCATGGTGACCCAGGTAATTTAGTCATCCTTAGTAATGAGGATCTGCTCTCTGCTGTCCTCTGCTCTTGGTCAGAATTATGAATTGGATTAGTTGCTGGGTATAGGATACTAAGCAAAATCTTAGAAGCAGGCTATAAAGCCTCTTAGGAATAATCCAAATAGTTTTGTTATCCAAGTCCAGAGATCTTCTATTCCTCATTCTGGAACTTATGGATCCTTAGTAACCTTTCTTTCCATGAGTGTCTTAATCAATAGTTTTTCCTTCCCAGTGAAATTCGTGTTATTATGATACCTACCAACACCTACCACAACCACCACCCATGTAGTTAAATGTTCTAAATTTGATCTGAATCAACCATCTAATTGGCAAAGAAATTTTGAAATTGGGTGGTATCTCCCAGGTAATTCAGGGGGCTATTGCTCCTGCTTTGTGCAATGCCAGGTTCAATCTTGTATCTCCCAATATAGTAACTATCAGAATGAAAAACAATTCTAGGGTTATTCATTATAATTATATTAATATACAGCTCTTTCTCTAGCATTTCTACCCCCTCTTTAAAATGGCTGTCATTCAAAAATTTGAGGTTGGTGTTCAGCTTCCTCAGATCTTTGGTTCTGAGCAGAGAGTGGGACCACTCACCCACTAGATAGCATGGAGGATAGTCACTGGAATTGGAATCAAAAAGATCTGAGTTTGACTCCTGCCTCACATATTAACTTTATGACACTGAGCAAGTTTCTTGATCTCTCTCATCCTTATTGAGTCTACTACACATGGTTATTATAAGGGTCAAATGAGATAATATATGTAAAGTACTTTGCATTCCTTAAAGCATCATATAATTGTTGCTGCTGTTATTATTGCTGTTATTTGCCTGGAATGGGTAGTGACATTTTTTCCTCACCCTGGTATCCTCATTATTATGAATTCAGAAATACCTGATGATAGGTACATTAAGGTTCATCATAAAATATTTGTGTGTCTCCTTTCAGTAGAGAAATTTACTGTGAAAGGAGGAAGAGGGCTGTGGTTGAAATAACTTCAGAACTGAGTTGGGAGGATCCTGCTATTACCTTCATAAGGCCATGATCTCCACCTCTCCATCAATCCACATCCACCTTGGTGACTGTAACATTTGGAAGTACTAGGTGGCATTCCCCCATTAGCATCTTCCTCTGAATGATGGGTTATTGGCTATGCATCATAAATTCTCTTACTAGAAATCAAACTGAGATCAGATCAGAATTACATCTCAAGAGCTTCTACCTCATATAGTAAATTATAACAAAGTAGGATAATTGCTTCCCAAGTTAACATTAATATCAACAAGTTCACAATTATGACATAATACATGATAGTCATTTAAACCATTCATCTTGTTTAAGCTCATACAAAGTCTTTTCTAAACACTTGTATCTGGATTCATCTCTTTCTAGCTTGACACATCTTGATATAGCCATCAGTTGTCAAAATTAAGAATCACAAAAATAATTTGGTCACATTTTAGTGTTTTACACAGAAATTAATTTCATGCACTTCCCTAAAACTCAGTCATTTGTTAGGGTTAACCTAGATGACTCGATATTATCTCTGAGAGTTTAGGAGCTGCATGTCAATCTCTCGAGAGTAAAATTCTTTTAACCTGGGATATGTAGACCCAAAGTTCTAAGTCTTGGTGTTTAATATCTCACTTCACGGTCTAAAGTCTCTGGTGAGATTCTCAGCAGGCTCCAAGCTTTTTTCTGTTCTTGGCCTAAAGTAGGCAGTGTAGGCTTGAGAATGAAAACCTTTATACAACATCAATGTTTTTCTGCAGTTGAAAAATTCATCATATTCATAAAGGTATGGAGGCTGTCTGCTCTTTCATTATTTTATCGTATTTTTCAATATTATATAACTAGCATATTGAATATTAAGAAAATTTGGAGTAAGTCCATTTATAATATCTCCAGTTATGTTCCATATATTCCATAATAACCAGCAATTTATGTAAAATTATTTATCTACTATGAGCAACCTTTGATTACATTCTAAATATTTCATTGTCCTATTGGTTTTATTACTTCCAAGCTATTCTCTTAACAAACTGCTTCATAATTACTATCCTCCCATTTAGCAGAAGGAGTCATAATTCTGTATGTACATGTGTATGTATGTGTGTGTACGTGTGTATGTATGTGTATTTGAAGGGGGATGACAAAATTCACTGGAAAGGCTTACATTTAAATACATAAATTTACAAACTTCATCTAGGCACTTTCTAATTTAACTTGTTTTAAGCTTTTAAAAAACCAAAAACCAATTTTCTAATTATTCAGGCTTAGATTCAAAATTAACAAAAGCTTCTTGTTATCCCACACACGTTCCTGTTGAAAGCAATGTGCCTTTTTTTTTTAAGAGAACTGAGAAAATAGTATGTTATAATAGACCTCTCTTATAGATACTCAAGGTCTTCTATACTGCTAAAAAATAAATTAACTCTTAGAACAACATGGTGCTCAGATTACAAAAATTGTTACCATTAGGACACCCTAATCATTTGATAATGGCCTGGATTTGGGAAGCATTATTTCAGTGGGAGGGACTTCTCCAGGCTCAGTGACAAAGGTCCCAATAATAAATCTTCCCCCTTTCCTAACATTAAAAAAAAGCATAAAAAGATTCCTCTCTCTTGGGAAAAAGAGAAGAGTTCTGAGTGCATTTGTATATACAAATTCTACAAAATTTCCACTTTAGCCATTGCTATCACAGTTTAGAAATCTACATTATTCAAAAAGATTATACCTGACTTTACTCATAGATTTAGTGTCTCTTTAGTTTTCAATACTAATCTCTGCATATGCAGGAGGAGATAGATTTTCCTTTATCTTTCTCTTGCCACACCAAGAGACCTACTTGGAATGCAGAAAAAGACTATATCCTTTAAAAGTTTAGAAACTTTTTGCTAAGAACAAAGCAAAGAAAAAAAACCCCTCACTTCTTCTAATTACTCTTTTTCTTTTGCCTACTCACATCACAAAAAAAAGCAACTCTACCCAGATAAACAAACACAGACTACACAGATGCTATTGACAGCATACACACTAATTCTATAGAACAAACAACAGATAAATAAAATAGAAAAACCTCTCTGTGAGAAAATGTGACTCAGGGCAGCTTGCTTGAGCTATTTCTGTTTTGAAGGAGTTAAGCTAAAGTTTCAAACAGACTAAAAATTTTCTCTTTCCTGCAAACGTGCAGTGTTCCTCCTACTTTTTTTCATCCATTCCACCCCCTCCCCCCAGGTTTGACAAAGCACCATATCTTGCCCCACTGATGGGATTTCTTTAAAACTACCCAAAGCTCTTGTTCCATCAGATGGGCTAATGTCCCCTTCTTCCATCTTCTATCCCCTTTGCTTGAACGAGGGAGACATTTTTACCACCACCCCTAACAATGCCAATTGTTGAGGCCCAAAGGACCCTCCTACATCTGGATATTGGACTGGTATAAATGATTGACTTGCTTCAGACAGGGGTATAAAAAAAGCACATTTTCTTAGCTTATAAGAATACAGTTGTTCATGACTAATGTGGAAATATGTTTAATATGATTGTACATGTTATAGCCTATATCAGATTGCTTGCCGTCTTGGAGAGAGGGGGGAAGGGGGGTTATTGGAATTCAAAATCTTATAAAAGTGCATGTTGAAAACTATCATTACGTGTAATTGGAAAAAAAAAATACTATTAAGCGAAAAAAAAAGAATATGATTGTCAAAAACAAGGCAAAGATAGATGCCATTAACCCTGATGAGCAGGATTTCTCCCAGAGATGATTTCTGAGGTGCGGCAAGTACAGTGTCAGGGAGTGAATTAGGTCCTTTTTATCTGCTAATGGGGATACCAAGGGTTATATCATTGGTGCAAAGCCTTCCTTTATACATGAAACCAAAAACGTTTTTTCTCTAGCTGCTTATTATATGTCAGGGTCTATAATCTAGCAGTATCTGTTAGTTCTAACATGGCCTATAATCCTACCTACTCCACAGCCTAGGGGGTCTTAAAATACAGTCTGCGTCACAGGGTCTGCTTCCTTTCTCATAACATGTATAGATCGGGGCTCTGGCCTACTACAGTTTATTTAGGGGAAAATGCCTTGTGTGTCCCTCAAATACAAAATCACTATGAGAAGGGGATGGAAGGCCTCAAAGCAACTGGAAGGCACCTGTCTTTATCAACCATTGGTAAATGGGGGGTGGGGATTTGAAGCTAGGTGGGGGTGGAGGGTGGGGAGAATTCGAATCAGAGATCATCAAATTCAACCCCCTCATATTATAGCCAGGGAAACTGCCAGTGACTCTAAGATCCTTTCCAGCTGTGAGGCCTAGAGGAGTTAAATGGCTTCCCAAGTTTCACAGTGAATTAGCAGTCCATCAACAAAGTCAAAGCTAGGTCTCCTGACTCCTGGCTCAGTTCTCTTTCCATTCTACCTTGGTGCGTTTATGAAAGATTTCCTTCACGCCCAGGGGAAACTTTCCAGAGGCCATAACTGTATCACTGCATTTCTTGCTTTCTCAACTGTGGAAGAAAATCCTTAAAACTTTGCAGCTTCTTCAAACCAAAGTGAAAAGTTATTCAGTTAGATTGACAGGGATGTGGAGTGATTGGGTGAGTTTTGAGGGGTTTCCAAGTCCTTTATCTCATGGGATTCAGGAAAGGAGGAACTATCTCTGAAGGGCAATGCTCTACTACGCAAAGAAAAGACCTGAGGTGTTGATTTAACAATAAAAAAAAATCATCTGAGTTTGTTGTTCATAAATTGAAATATCCTCAAAGGTAGACACAGAATAATCATAATAGCTAACATTTATACAGTGCTTACTACGAGCTAAGTGCTTTACAATTATTATCTCTTTTAATCCTCACAACAACTTTGGGAGGTAGGTGTTACTGATCCTTGTTGGATAGATGAGAAACCTGAGGCAAACAGGGTTAAGTGACTTGCCTAGGGTCACATAGCTAGTATCTAAGGCCAGATTTGAATTCAAGTCTTCCTGCCTCCAGACCCATGTTCTATCCACTGTGCTACCCAGCTATAAATGGAGACTTGGCCAAGGGGCATGGGCAAGGTAGAAACAAAGCTTCCTTTTTCTTTTTCCTTTTTTTTTCATTGAAGAAAAAACACAATTATTATTCACAATACAATATACAAATCCCCTATTTCCCACCCCATCTATTTCAGGTTTATGAAGAAGAATAAACACTCCCTATTCCAGAAGAACCGGAGACCAGATGATTCCAAAATACCACCAGCTACATGGCTACCAATCAGAGCTGAACTTGAAACAAATGAGCATTTGGGTAAAGAACATTGAAAATTAAATACCCAAGACCATCGCTTTCATATAATTTTAATCACGCTGTTACATCATCACTTCCTCTAGCATGAAACATCTTTCTTTAAAACCTAAATTTAAATAAAAATAAACTATCATACTATCTTGGACCCTGCTTCCTCCTCTCTCTCTCTCTTTCTCTTTTTCTTCACGATGTCAGACTTCACATTTAACCCTGATTGCCTCCCCGTCCTGGACAACAACACCAATAAAACAAAAAAGGGGCAGCTAAGTCACTCAGTGGAGAGAGCACTGGCCCTGGAGTCAGGAGGTCCTGAGTTCAAATCAGGCCTCAGACACTTACTAGCTGTGTGACCCCGGGCAAGTCACTTAACTCTGATTGCCACCCCCCCCAACAAAATAACAACAATAAACCAATGTCAGATTTCAAAAATTAAAGGATCATGGTTGATCCTTCCCTAAGATCCTATAGCAAATAGTACTTCTACTAATAATAATGTGAGTGGCAATGTGAGTATAGTGGATAGAGAGCTGACTTTGGAAACTGGAAGACCTGAGTTCAAGTTCCACTTCTGACACGTACCAGCTGTGTGACACCATGAGAAAGTTCACTTCACTTCTTAGTTGCCCCAGGTAACTTCCCAAGTCTTTGAGTTACAGAGCAGGCATGATGATGTGCCTTGTTAGCGGGCTAATGGGAGTTCTCTACATAAATGAAATCCCATCTAGAAATAAACACTACTAGTTTTTTATATTATTAAAATATTATAAGAATATTTTAGTAAAATAAATTCTCTTCATTCCCACTTCTCTTAGTTTAATACTTTTCTGAGCAGCACAGACATACCCCATATAATATTGTCCAACTGACCTCATTTCACAACATTGCTAGTATATTATAACTGAACTCCACAAGGTAATTTCAGAAAACACCATTGTAATAACATCTGCCTGATCACCCAATTATAACAATGTTTTCAGGCAACAAGTGCCTCCTGGGACATTGTTTCACCTACCATCGTGTTGAAGCAACTAATGACCTTAATGGGCCTATGCCTCTAAGTACCTAAATAGTCATGATTCTTTAGCCCCATAGTAACCCTACTAGAAAGTGACTGACAGCCCAAGATTAGGGTGGTGAAGAAAACTGGGACTGTTGCTCTTAGTCTCAGCGACTCTTCTCCCCTCAACAACTTTTCTTCAACTGTGCTGTTTCAAAAAAACAAAAACAAAGTGAACAAAAAACCTCTTGGGCTCGGTTGAGTAGTTCCTTTCCTAATTGTCACTATGATCCTCTCCTTTCTTGCCTTCATTCATCCATCATTCTCCGAGGAGATGATCAGTTCCATTTAATTCAACAAGCATTTATTAAATGTCTAATGTGTGTAAAGCACTTTACTAGGTGCTGGAGCTTCAAAAGCAATAATGAAACCATCCTAGTAGCTTGCATTCTACTGGGACAAAACACGTTTGTTGATGCCTTGTAGATTTCACCAAAAGAACCTTAAACTGAAGTATTATCTGAAAGATCTTCAGGACGGAAGTAGTACCACAGAACTGGAGGAGGCTAATGTTCTAATTTTTGAGAAAGGGAAGAAAATAGAAGCTGCCAACTAAAGACGAGTGAGTTTGAGGTCAACTCCTGGCAAAATTGGAGAAGGTATTACTAAAGAGGTAATTAATAAACCCCTAGAAAAGGAAGCAGCCATCACAAAGCACTAGCTATGTTTCAAGAACAAGTCATATCAGTTGTTGTTTAATCATTTCAGTTGTGTCCAATTCTTCATGATCCTGTTTGGGATTTTCTTGGCAAAGATGCTGAAGTGGTTTGTCATTTCCTTCTCCACCTCATTTTACAGATGAAGAAACTGAGTTAAGTGACTTGCCCAGGGTCACACAGCTAATAAGTGTCTGAAGCCAGATTTGAACTCACACAAATGAGTCTTCCTGACTCCAGGCCCAGCACTCTATCCACTGTGCTGCCTAGCTGCCCATAAGGTATACCAGATTTAAGCTTATTTCTTTTTTGATAGAGTGCTAAACTGATTAAATCATAGAAATACTGTATATGTAGTGCACCTACATTTTAGCAAGGTTTTTTTTTATACTCTTAAGACTTTTTTTCCCAATGAACAACTATTCATTTTCTATCCCTCCCACCCCCTTCCCATCTCCCAGAGAGAAAAAAATAAAAAATAAAAACGAAGTCTTTGTTATAAATATGTGTAATAAAGAAAACTAAATTCCCATGTTGGCCATGCCCATAAAGTGTGCAACTCATTCTTCATATTTAGTCTATCACCTCTCTGTCAGGAGGTGGGTAGCATGCTTCATCATTAGCCCTCCGGAATCATGATTGGCCATTGCACTCTACATTCTCAAGACTTTCAAAGTCTTGTGAGAGTATATTGTTGTGAGAATACAAATCATTCTGCTGGTTCTGCTCACTTCACTCTGCACCATTTCATACACGTCTTCTCAGGTTTCCTGAAACTCTTTTGCATCATTTCTTTCAGTGCACTAGTATTCCATTATATTCATACATCATAATTTATTCAGCCATCTGATAAAGAATGTGGGAAAGGTGGAGTAATATTTGCTATGGTGTAACCAGAAGAATTCAGAACTGACTTAATTAGCTGCATTTCAGAAGAAGTCAAAATGACTTCATGTGATTCTGAATGTTTCCAATGGAGGGAGCTATGGATTTGGGTGTGGCCCTCTGCTATTCAATTTTTAATTAATTTAACTAATTTAAATTAATTTAATATTTTACTTGATGATTTGAATAAAGCCAAAAAATGTAGCATCCTTTTCATCCTTTGAGCTGTGAATGAGAGATCATCTTTTGTTCAGGTGACAAATTAGATAAATGAGTCACAATTCAATACATTCTTGACAAGCTACAAGAGTAGGGGCAAATATAATAAGAAGAAACTTAATAGGGATACATGTAAAGACTTAAGTGACTTTAAAAATTGCCTTTATAATGCTAAGAAGAGAGAGGGATGATTAGTCAGCAGGCAACTTGTTTTCAAAGAGATGGGGTTTAGGTGGACTGAAAGCGCACTATGAGACAACAGCAAAGGAGAGCCAAAATGTCTAATGTGACCTTGGCTACTATTAAGAGAACAACAACTTCTGGGAATAAATTGGAAGCAACATGCTTTCTGGATCTGACCACATCTGGAGTACTTTTGAGTGCCACATTTTAGCAAAAATATTGATAAGCTGGAGAGTGTCCAGAGGAGGGGTGTAACATAGAACCAGAATGCTAAAGGCCTTAAGTTTATGCCATATGAAGACCATTTGAAGGAGCCAAGAATATTTAACATGGAGAAGCTAAGACTCAGGGAGAACATGATAGTAGTCAAAGTATTTGAAAGGTTGTAGTAAGGGCTGGAAGTCCCCTGACTGGGGAACCCTGTACCCCTCCCCTCCATAACCATAGGGTGTTCTTTTGTACCAAAGCTTTTGAACCCGAAGCTCCAAGAGGCCATGGAGCTCTAGCTTGATTATAGGGAGTAGTTTAATCAATCATTATGAATACTTACAAAACAGGGGCAATCTTTGGTCTGGGACAGTGGCCAAACAGTTCAGTGAATCTCTGCTAAGAACCCCAAAAATCTTCATGGTAATTATAGAAAAGAGATGAATGCAGGAGGAACTAGACAGTGTATCACTACTGATCGGTGGATATTTGGGGGTTTTTGCTTAGTAATGAGCTTGGGAGTTAAGCCAATGTTATGTCCAAACATAAGTTTGTGTATGGATCATCTACTGGTGACATATGGGTCACAATATTCTTGTTTTGGCTTTCATAGGTCTTAGTATCTTGAGTTATGACTCGGTGTCTAAAATGTAATTCACTATCTAAGTTATGATTATAAACAGGTCACCATGTTCGGGCTTCCACCTTTCACAGAGTTTAAGTTTTTATGGTTTTTCACTTATTACTATATTTTATGGCTTTTTCCCCAATCAGTAACCCATAGCTGTCATGAAGAGGTTTTTCATTTGGCTCCAGAGGAGAGGACTAAGAACATCAGATACAAGTTGAAAAGAGGCAAATTTAAGCTTTACTTTTAAAAAAATGCCTTCACAATAAACTATCCAAAAGTGGAATGGGCTACCTTGGGATGTGGTGGGCTCCTATTTACTGGAGGTTTCCTTAAGCAAAGGGTAAATGACTATTTATAAGGTATAATAGAATAGGGCCTCTGTTACAGGTACAGTTTAGAATAGATGACTTCTGGGGCAGGTAGGTGGTACAGTGGATAGAGCACTGGCCCTGGAGTCAGGAGGATCCGAGTTCAAATCCGGCCTCAGACCAAACACTTGACGCTTACTAGCTGTGTGACCCTGGGCAAGTCACTTAACCCCAACTGCCTAAAAACAAAACAAAACAAAACAAAAACCTACAGAATGGATGACTTCTGAAGTACCTACAAGCACTGAAAATCTATAATACTGTGAGTGCACACAAATATTGAAATGCAAAATTTATTCCAAGTGAATACAAAATTATTTCAGCAGCTAGGAAAGGCACCAGCAATATGGGGTATTTGTAAAGGAAGACCTTGTGTGGCACCTGAACTGAGCCTCAAAAAGAGCTAGAAATTCTGAAAGATGTGAATTCCCTCATTCCAGGAAAGAGGGAGAACCTGTGCAAAGGTGAGGAGAGTAGAAATGAAACGGCATCTACAAGGAGGAGCATGTAGATTTGGTAGGAACACAGAGGGTGTGGAGACTAAGAAATTTGAGTTTTCTCTTGGAGAAAATAGGGAGTTATTAAATATTCTGGAGCAGGAAAGAGACATGGTCCAGTTTGTGCTTATTGTCGTTGAGTTGTTCTCAGTCATGTCTGACTCTTTGTGATGCCATTTGGGGTTTTCATGGCAAAGACACTGAAACCGTTTGCCATTTCTTTCTCCAGCTCATTTTACAGATGAGGAAGCTGAGGCAAACAGGGTTAAGTGACTTGCCCAGGGTCACACAGCTAGTAAGTGTCTGAGGCCAGATTTGAACTCAGGAAGATAAGTCTTCCTACTCCAGACTCATCACTCATCACTC